TTACCTCAAACAAGATATTATCTATAAAAAAGGTAGTTCCTAACTTAATAGTGGTGATGATAAGCTAAAGAAGATAAGTCATAGAGTCTATTAGTATTTGTTAAAGACTTGTGTAAACATATGTTTACAGTTCTTGTATTCCCCTTATTCCACGATTCTTTTCTGTGGTGGATTCTGCATTCCTTCACCAGTGTCTTAAGAAATTCATTAGATATTTTCATATAGCTAAGATACTTTACCAAACTTGGTAGATGTATGCCCTTTATGAAGATTACAAACAACCAATTCTTCACAATTAATGCTTTGTAATTATATCTATCAGGAAGTAGTAAGAGAAAGGCAAGAAAACCTAAGACTTGTGAGACTGATGCAAGATAAAGAGGAAATGATTGGAAAACTCAAAGAAGAAATTGACTTGTTAAATAGAGTAAGTATTTCACATATTTCAATTTCAGGGTTCCTTTTTTTTTTTTTGAGAATGGGATGAAAATATGTAAATATGAAGAAATTATTTCATTGCATTATTTATTTTGTTCTTTTGTTAATGAGATGGTAATTTGTAGTAGTAAGAACCATCATTTCATTTCACAAACTGATTTCCTCTGGGCAATTATCAGTTTAACAAACATAATTTTATTCTTTTGGGGATGGACTGATAAATGGATTTGTTCTGTGTTTTGTTAGAGTTTGGAGATGAGAGACAACTTGGTCACTACCACATGTAAAAGGGCACTGGCACAGAGTCACTCCAATAAAGAACTAAAATTTGGTACTTTATCACTATAAGAAATTCCAGATGTCTTTGTGTGTATTTTCACCACTTTTTTTTCTTCAGTTGTACTTAATGCATCCCCAGCTTTAGGTTTAGCAATTGGCTAAGCCAGTATTTGACTTCAGGTATTCGATAGTTCTACTTCAGTGTAGTCCATTCTTTGTGGACTGCCTTTCATCCTGATTCCAACACAGGTATTCCTCTATTGGTATTAGAATTTGATTTAAGAAATTCTGCAAATATTTTTGATGTCCATGATGTATTTGCACTGTCTTAGGCACTATGGGTATAAAAAACAGTGATAAAACCCCTGCCCTTATAGAGTTGATAATCTAGTAATGATACAAGAATGTATTTTATCATTTAATTCCAAATCTTAGGTAGATCTCAAGTTGTAATTTTAGAAATCCCATATTTTTTTTGTTGTTTCAACAGATTTTTCCCATCATTCATTTAGTTGGTAAATAAATGCAAATTCTGTTTTTGTGAATTTTAAAATCATTTACCTAATTGTCAAAAGGCAGTATACAAAATTTATCAGAATGCTGCTATACTATAGCAGTGATTTAAATTGATTGTATCAAGTTTTAATATTTTAGACTGCAAGGATAAATCTATAAATGTCTGCTTTTCTAACATTTAATAAACAGTTGACCTTGAAATAATATTTTTGTGACTAAAACTTCTAGTGATTTGTTTTTAACCAGATGTTGTATATTTGGGACTAGGATTAATACAGGGAACATAGAGCTGGATCATATACTTTTAAAGCTGGAGAGTGAATGCCTGCTTTAGTGGCTTTGAATTATTTTTTAGCTCTAAAACCTTTCCCTCAAAATGTCGTGAAGAAGCCCAACATTAGTTGAAACAGATCAACTCTGTATGCCCCAGATCCCCTTTTCTGTATGCCTCAGTTCGCATCCCTGGTCTCATCCCCTAATGTATACATTTAAAGATCACACAAAGGGAACCTTGTACCTTTTGAAGCCCACTTTGACACAAGGTTGCAACTTGAGGCGCTATACTACGTATGGCCAGCATGTGTGTTTTGTTCAGCCTTCCATTTTAGGGAGGGGGAATGGAGTTTGGTTTTAACTTATTTATGATGATTAAAAATTGGAAGATTTGCAATTTAAGAATTCTGACTTGTGCCTTTTTTTGAAAATCTGTAAGTTCTGGCAAGAATTGGCCCACATATTTGTGATAAGAATGAAGTCAGGAGTTGCTTTAGGTGGGACAGATTCCATCTAGAGTTATTTCTTCATTTCAAAATGAATTGGTTATATGAATTATCTTTGAATGTGTATTTATAAAGGTGTTTTTTTTTAATCTCCCTTAGAATGTATTTTAAATATTTTTAAAGTATTATTTTCCTTTTTTTCCTTAAGGACCTAGATGACATAGAAGATGAAAATGAACAACTAAAGCAGGAAAATAAAACTCTTTTGAAAGTTGTTGGGCAGCTCACAAGGTAGAAGATTCAAGGCTCAGTGTGGAATAAATATTTTAAAACTACTGATTGAATGTTATGATCAATGCTAGGACGATATTCCTATGCTGCAATACATTAAAATAGCGAAGTATGTATATTTATTTCTAGAAAACGGATGGATGTCTATTTTCAAAATATTTCATTTTCATTATTAGTTTCAAAAAAAGTATCTACCCTTTTTATTTCACAAATAAGTAACGCCTTTCAGTTATTAAAGTGATAGGTAATACCTTTTTGGTTTTGTGTGGTATTCGAATAATACATGATTTAAAGTCACAACCCTTTAAGTATATTTTATCTTTGGTAGCACATTCTCTCCCTGAAGGAATATACATAGTCTTTGTTTACATGAATTCAGATACTTTTGGGGAGTTACTTGTAAATGCCTTATTACTGATGTGTGCGACCGTTTATATGTTGATGACTTACTCATAAAGATTTTTGTCTACTGTTCTTTCCACTTATTCTAAGCAATTTAGAGTAATAGTCACACTATTTTGTGTAACAATATTATAAAAGACAAGCTATTTTAAAAGTCACTTAATATCATGTTCTTGTTAGCTAAATATAAATTTAAGAGAATACTTGAATTGTGCTATAGTAAATGAAAATTTACTATTTTGTGTTTGAATATTAAAAAACTTTAAAATCACTTTTACTTCTGAAAAACA